GTTAAGGAGTCCACACCTCCCCGGCTGAGAGTCAGCAGCCCCCGCTCCCCAGGTGGTTTTCCTGAGAAGGGAGCGTGGAGCACTAGGGCAGGGAGAGTGGGGCAGAGGGGAGGCAAGCCAGGTACCTTTTCCAGCATCTCCCCTGGGTAGAGGGGGAAGGGTTCCTGGTCCAGCCGGATCTCCAGGTCAGCATGGCGAAGGCGCACTTGTCCTGTGGTGTCAAACAGCACTAAGCCCTGGGTATCCCGGGAGACGGGATTAGCCACTGTGCAGTAGTGGCGTGGGGGCACAGTCACCATGCGCACGGGAGCAAACAGCACCCTGTTGGAGGGTGAGAAGAGGGCTGAGAAGTCAGGCAGACGTCCCCTCTGCCCAACTCCCAGAGGACGCAGCCCCACCTCTACCCACAGGAATCCCCTGTCCCCTAAGAGAAACTGTTCCTGCTTAGAAACAGGAAGAAGGGGGCGACGACCATGACAGGCAGCCTACCGCAGCCTACCTCTCATTGTCCTGTCGGATGTAGGTCTTTGGCCCGACCTCCACGCGGGACACGTTGCTGTTCTGGTCCAGGACATGGATGTAGTGGTACGGGGGGATGCGGATGATGGACTCTGCTGCCATGGTGATGCTGGATCTGAGCAAAGTGCAGAGCGGAGCGTTACAGAAGGCTGGAGAGAGGGCACGGGCCGAGCACCAGCATGGGCTGAGGAGGAAGGGGTCTGAAGAGCGGCTGTGGGTGGGGGGACAGAGCTGTCCTCCTCCAGCTCAGCCAGAGCCCACGGCCTTTCTTCACCCCCCTCACCCCCAGCACAACACACCACGCATGCCACGATGTGCCTGATGCACTGACCACGGAACCCAGAGTCCTCGCTGACTTTCTCCCCTCTCTCCTGATAACACGGACTTCCCCAAACTGTCTGATCAAACCTCCAGTGCCTACAGAGTATGGTCGATTGGGTTCTTGTGGGGACGCGAAGTACAGTGGGGAGACGGGGGCTCTGAATAGCTCGCTGGCCCCTGGGAAGCAAGAGATCTGGAGTATATTCAATTGTCGCCCATCAACACACCCAGAGCCAGAGACTATCTGCACCCTCCCTTTCCTTGAGCTTTAGTTCTTGGGGTTGGGGGGCGGGGTACTGTCCAGACAAGACCTTTTCTCATGGAAGGAAACCCCTGACAGCTGATGCTCCCAGAGCTGTGCTGGGAAAACCAGACGTCCTTCTAACCTTTTCCTCCGCATTCCCAGGTCTGTAGCCCCTGTTGGCTCACCACTGCTGCAGGCAGAGATAGAATTCAGGCCGAGTCAATGCCGACCGGCAGTGGCCCTCCAGCCCAGGGCAGAACTGTCTTGTGAGTTTTGGCGATTATAACTCAGTGGTGCTCAACCTTCCTCCTGCCGCGACCCTTTCATACAGCTCCTCATGTGGTGGTGACCCCCAGCCATAACATTATTTTCGTTGCTACTTCATCACTGTCATTTTGCTACTGTGATGAATCAGGCGACCCCTGTGAAAGGGTTGTTTGACCTCCAAAGGGGTCGTGACCCACAGGTTGAGGACCGCTGTTGTAACTCTACGGAAGTAGCGAGCCCTGTGTTTCTCCCGAGGAATGGCTGGTGGTTTTGAACTGGTAACCTCATGATTAGCACCTCCACTTGCAAATCAGGGCCACCAGGGAGGGCTCCTGACACAGGGACAGGGACGGGCATATGTGAATACTGTTTTCTCCCCAGCTCCACCCTCCCTGCTTCTGAACCCAGAGGGCGACCCAAAACCCCGTCTCTACCGCCAGCACCCTGGAACTCTGGACAGTTTGCAACTTAAAGGGAAGCAAGGTTATGGACAACTCGGAGTCTTGCCCGGTGTGGTACTGGCCAGGCATGTTTGCAGGTAACACCATGAACTCAACCACTCACCAGCCTCCCACCTGGGTGAGTAGTGGGAAGTGAAAGAAAAAAAGTGTGTGTGTGTGTGTGTGTGCGCGCGCGTGTGCGCGCCCAACTAGGTAGGAGCCACTCTGACACCATCAAAGTGCTGCTTGTAAACAAAGGAGTCTCCTGGGGCAGAGGAATGGCTTTGTCTTCCATGGAAACCTTTCTGGCCTGGGGTTTGTAGTTCTGCCGGGAAGAGATTTCACAGTGGTTCCTCTCGGCATCCATGACTCCCAAGTGGCTGGACCTTGCAGGGCTAGGTCAGTCTAGTATCCAGATAAGTCACTGTCGTGAGTCCACCCCGATTCATAGCAGCCTGTGGGGCAGTGGAGCTGCCCCTTTGGGTTTCCAAGACTTTCTTCCCCTTTGGGTTTCCAAGACTCTGGGGAGGTCACACTGCTGACACAGCTCAATTCGTAGCCCATGTCACCAGGGCTTCTTACTATGCCAAGAGGGTGTGTAAAATCACCCAATGGGACTGAGTGCTAATGAGTATGCCAAATAAATGACTTGCCTACAGAGAGCATTGGTCAGTTCGTGGTTGGAGGGGAGGACCAGGACTTAAAATCGACAAGATGTAGAAGCAGACCTTGTCCTTTGGCCTGCGGGCCTTGTGCTAAGAACCTCCTCCACATAGGAGAAAGGGCTGTCACGCCAAAGCCGGGGTCGGGCAGACAAGACAGCAGAGATCAGGCAGGAGGTCGGGTCCTGGGGGTGTTGGGTGTGCAGGCAACGGTCAGGGTCAGCCGAGCTGAGGAGCTAGAGCACTGTCCTGTGCAAGTCATTAGTTGAAAGGTGGCCCGGTGGCTGGGCACATCCAGAGAAGGCTTAGGGGCAGGGCAGAGAAGCAGCTGAGCGCCGTCTTGACCGAGTGCACCCTGTCTCCAGGGACACAGCCCATCACTCCCAAGTTGATCCTGACTCCAAATTGTCGCCTGTGGTTTTTCCTCATTGTGGGAAACAAAGATTTCTCCCAAGTTGTCTCCCCTGAATATATGCCAAACTTAGCTACTTGCTACACATGGTAAATGACTATACACTTGGAGGTCAACACAAGTAGGTCAGAGGTTAGTCTCCCTAAGGGTTATCAGCCATCCAGAGCAAGCAGACTGTAGCAGTAGATTGTTTCCCTGAAGGAGAGCCCAGGGAGGTCAAGCCCACTCAAGGGCGACCAAGGTTAGGCTGCCATATTGAGTCTAGGGTCTGCCCTTTTTGTCACATGTGTACCCCCAGTCCCTCCTCTTCCTATTATGTGTACATCCCTAGCTCATCCCCTTCCTGTCATGCTTATGCCCATTGGATAGCCGCCTCCTATTGCTCGTATTGCCTATGTTACAACCCCTTCCTGTGACGTATGTCATTACCTGTAATTAGGGGGTATGCACACCCCCAAAGATATATCAGCTTTGGTTACAATAAATCTCTCTCGCTTGCTTCTGCAACTCCCACCTTCCACATCCTCACGTGGACCACCAAGCGGGGCTGAGGTGAGCGTGCTACCAGGAAATGTGTCTTTTTCATTTTGCTCCATGTCTCCCCCATTTCTCTACGACTTCACTATTAGCTTTATCTTAACCGTACAATTGCACCTATCAGACCCGCAATTAGTTGTGGGGGGCTGGCTTCCCCTTCACCTAATAATCCACACGGCCTGTTAAGTCCCCTGTGGCCATGGGGACACGTCATCAAACCCAGGAGAGATGAAGAGAGTGGCCTGGGAGTGAGAGGGCTTCACCAAGAGGGAGAAGGCTGGGAAAACGGAGGTCGGTCTGTCTGTCTGACCTCCACCTCTCGGGGGCTGCAGGCTGCTCTCATCTCCCTTCCTAACTGTGGATGAAGCCGAGGCTGGCTCGTTGTGCAGGGTCTGCAGCACTTTACCATTTCCGATGGCATTCTGATAGGTAAGGTTGAGTGTGCCAACCTGGCCAATGAACACCTGTGGGACTAATTGATGGGGTGGAGAGCTAAATGGCTCAGCGAGCCTCACCTGTCTTGTCTCTTGCTCTTTGATGGTCGGACCAGGGTGCGGCTGCCTCAGCTGGCAAGGCTCACTTCCCGTGAGACATCCCTGAGGCGGAGCCACATGGACCTACCCTGATGCAGCCCTGGGTGCTGGTGCAGCATTGTGGAGACCCCTGCCAGCGCTGAGATGCTTAAATGCTCTGATTCGGCTTTCCTCCTGCAGTCGGCGTCATTGCGACTGTGTTGTGAGTTTGAGGAGTACTTTGTAGATTAGCGTCAGACATATGGGCTAATGTTGGACTTATGAGCTAGAACTGGACTGGATTGGGATGCTTAATGTATAATTACCCTTTGTATAAAACTCTCTCTTATAAAATATAAGTGCTTTTGAGTTTTGCTTCTCTAGTGTACCAGTCTATCCAGACTCACACACCATTTCTCTTGAAGAATTAGGAGCCCAGTAACTCTGAACTCAAATTCCCATTTGGCCAAATTGGGCTGGAGCCAAGTAGTAGCTTTGCTCCTTACCTGGACACAAACTGTCCACTCTGTTGTTCCCACCACTCCCTGACATCTTAAACCTGGGTCTGACCTCCTTTGCCAATTCCTGTGTGCATTTGAATGGGCCAACTCTGCTATCCGTTCAAACTCTGTCAGCACTGCCCAATAGAACTGTCCAGTGATGGAAATGTCCAAAAGCTGTGCTTTCTGGACTGACAAGCATGACTTTGGAGCACTTGAGATGTGGTTACAGTGACAAGGAAGTGACCTTCAAGTGTGACTGAACTTGAACGTGTAAGTGAAAAGAATTCAACCAAGGGTCACACGTGGCTAGTGGAGCCCACATGGGGCAGTGTCCTAAGTGGCTGAGAACCGGAGAGAGAATGTGTTGCTCAGGAGTGAATGCCTGATCAGAAAGGTGGTTAGGGCCCTGAGTTTGTCGCTGTTGGGCGTTGCGGTGTAGGTTCGTAGTCTCCCAAAGCCTATGTCCAACACAAGACTGTCTGGTCCTATCCCAACCTCATCCTCTTCCTGTGTTGGAGCCCCCCCACCACCACCACCCCGCAGTCACGTGTGAATCCAGCTCAGTGAGGACTGTGGTACTTAAATAATCTGTTGTCAATTTGAGACGAGTGAAGGGGTGGCGTTTACCTGTCCATCAGGTGGCAGCTTGACGGCCTCCACTTGGGGGATAACTAAGTTACTGGAGGCAGACATTGGCTCAGTCCCTGCGAGGCACTCTTGTTGATAAGCCACATGGGGACAGGCCGATGACAGTCAGAGCCTCGGAACTGGAGGAGCCACGTGGAGACCCCTGCCAGCGCTGAGATGCTTCCACCGCCACTGGGTCCACAAGACTTTCCACCCACTGGCCTGTGATCTCCCTGCATTCTGTATCCTTGCGTGTGTTTTGTGAGTCTGAAGAGGACTTTATAGATTGGTACTGGACATAGGGGTTAATACTGGACTTAGGGACTTGATCTGGACTGGGCTGGGATGTTTTCTCAGTATTCAATTGCTCTTGTATACAAAGCTTTTTCTTATACCGATAGGAGTCTCCCTGGATTTGTTTCTCTAGTCTACCTGGACTAACACAAGGCCCTTCCTGTTTTTAGCTGACCTTCTACTTTTCCAAGCAGGATGTCCCTCTTGATGACAAGTCCAAAGTCCGTGAGACAACGTCTCACCATCCTCGCTTCTGAGGTGCATCCTGGCTGTACTTTTTCCAGGACAGGTGTGTTGGTTCATATGGCAGTCCATGGTACTTTCCAGAGTCCTCAGCCGCACCGTCCTTCAAATGCTTCCATTCTTCTTCAGCCTTCCTGATTCCGATTCCGGGTC